ATGGTCTCCTTCTAGGAATCCTATTGACTATTATTGCTCGACTCCTAGATTATTGATGGCCAAATAGGGCAAACACCTCTTCTACTCAGCCCTAAGCAAGAAATTATAGCGACAAGTAGGCAAATTGTACCGGAGATTTCAGAGGCAGAGATTTACACCCTCATGGCTCCTACAAAACAAATGAAAATCACGGACCCGCTCAGACACGGAAAAAAAGATTGCCCTAAACACATCCAAGATGGCGATGCCACGGAGGCCTACTCTCCCACTTTTGAAGGGGCAGCTGACCAGGAGACTATACTAACAGCTTCAGAAGACAACCTGGTTACAGATAGAAGTCTTAATAAAATGCTGCAGATCCATGCTGCAGACTGATTTTAAACAAATCACTGCTTCCTTCCATAAGGATCTTGCAGAGCTAGGGGAAAGGACACACCACCTTGAAGAGAAAATGGAAGAACTGTGTACAGCAACAAGGTGGTAGACAAACTACAAAAGCTGGAAGAAGAGAAGGTGAGGCAAAAGGTAGCAGAACTCGAAGATAGGTCACGGCACATTAATGTGAAATTCAGTGTAATACCAGACGGAGTCTCGGCGGAGGTTTTACCTGCCTTCATTAAAGCACTGTGCACTGCAGTTATACCTGATCTTGAGGAGACAGCGTGGCTGATGGATAGAGTCCACCGACTGCCATGACCTACCAGATTTACAGAAGACACTCCCTGAGATACAACAGTGCACTTTCACTACTATTGGTCCAAGACCAGTTACTCAATGCTACCAGAAAACTACCCACGCTCCCGGCTCCATACCAAGATGTTAATCTGTATGTGGCCCTCTCAGCTATAACTATGGCATGCAGGCATGAATTTACTAATTCGCTATCAAGATTACTAGATTACTAGCAGTATCGTTTGTATATAGTTTCCTATTCTCATTCTATGACTGGTTCATTATATTACCAAGTTAATTGTTTCATGTCAATTTGCCATGTGGCCCACAGTTGAGTATTACCTGTTTGAACAGGTTTGCAGTAAAACATACTTGGTTGGTGACTGCAACATGCATATCAACAGGCTTAGCCACATGTGTTGCGCGTGTTAATGACCCCCCAGGCTGCCCACACAGGCATGGATTTATCTGTTCCTGAATCCAGCCATGCTACCAACTCTCTAAAACGAGAGTCCCTGTGTATATATATATATATATGTAACCCTTTTTTGCCCTGCTCCTGGCAACAAGCCGTAGCTAGCAGCAGTTACACCTTCTTCTGTCGCTGACAGGGATCCTGAGCCTCCGCTATAGTTGGGAGATCGGGACATCTTGTTCTGACACAGTGCCTCCACTCAGTGCAACTTCTATTTATGGGGAACCCACCCCACTGAGTAGATGAGTACCCTCCACTTAATAACTCAGAGACATGAAATGACTACAGACATGGAAATACACACTGTATTGTGGTTAAAGAGATACACATATAACAGCAGAAATAACAATGCAGTTCCTGGCTAATGCTGACTGATGATAAAGTCCCTGATGTAGGAATGATACAGTCACAGGAGTCTTTAGCAGCAGGAATGCAGACAACAAACTTCCCTTAATAACATCAATAACTACATCTGAACAGTTAAACTCATAGGTACCTGCAGGTAAATTATGTGCACAACGTTGGGGCCCTTAGGTGTAGGTAGCGCCAGGGCCGCCATCAGGGGGTGACAATGTGTGCAGCCGCTATCTATGTGTGCAGCCGCGGGCCCCCGGCTCCCTGTTACCGCAGAGGGGGCCCAGGTAGCACACAGCTTCTCCTCCTCTCTTCTCTCTTCTAATAACTCTCGGGAGACCCGCGGAGCGTTGCCATGGTAACCGGGTCTCGCGAGAGTTATTAGAAGAGAGAAGAGAGGAGGAGAAGCTGTGTGCTGCCTGGGCCCCCTCTGCAGTAATCATGGAATCTCCCCCCACCCTGGACACAGGTAAGCAGGGAGGGGGGAGAAACATTTAATTAATTTAATAAAAAATTAATGTTAAAATGCCCCTTCCTCCGCCTCCCCCACCCAGATCACACATTTACACACACACACTGCATACACTAACACAACACACACTGCATACACTAACACAACACACACACACTGCATACACTAACACAACACACACACACACTGCATACACTAACACAACACACACACTGCATACACTAACACAACACACACTGCATAAACTAACACAACACACACACGCTGCATACACTAACACAACACACACAGCATACACTAACACAATACACACACACTGAATACACTAACACAACATACACTAACACAACACACACTGCATACACTAACACAACACACACACACTGCATACACTAACACAACACACACACTGCATACACCAACACAACACACACACTGCATACACCAACACACACTACATACACTAACACACAACACACACTGCATACACTAACACAACCGCATACGACCAACACAACACACACCGCACACACCAACACCGCACACACCAACACACACAACCTGCATACACTAACACAACACACACACACTGCATCCACTAACACAACACACACACACTGCATCCACTAACACAACACACACTGCATCCACTAACACAACACACACTCTGCATACACTAACACAACACACACTCTGCATCCGCTACACTAACACACACTCTGCATTCGCTACACACTAACACACTCTCTACATTCACTACACATTAACACTGCATTCACTACACTAACACACACTCTGCATCCGCTACAAACTAACACACTCACTGCATTCACTACACATTAACACACACTCTGCATTCACTACAAATTTACACACACTCTGCATTCATTACACTGACACACTCTGCATTCACTACACACTAACACACACTCTGCATTCACTAAACTATACACACACTCTGGATTCACTATATTGACACACACTCTGCATTCACTACACTAACATACACTCTGCATTAACTGTACACACAGCATCCACTACACAAACATCCTGTATTCACAGTACACACTACATCCACCACAAATTGAAACACTCTGCATTCACTATGCACAGACACTGCGTCTAATACACACACTACATCCACTACAGACACTGCATCCACTAAACACATTTCATCTAGTACATACAAACACTACATTCACTACACAAACACACACATCACTGTACACACACTACATCCACTACTCAAATACACTCTGCGTTCACTATACACACTGCATCCGCTACACAAACACACACTCTGCATTCACTGCACAAACAGTATCTAATACACACAAACACTACATCCATTACACATATTCTAATTCACTTCCACTATACACACCACATTCAGTCCTGCATCATAGTGAGCGGACTAGGTAGGGCGTGGGCGGGCCCGGGAGGGAGGGAGGGAGGGAGTGGGGGGGGCAGACCTTGTGCTTTGTCATGGGCCCCAAAATTTCTGATGGCGGCCCTGGGTAGCGCTACCCAGATACAGTTATAAGGGAGAATCCTGAAGCAATCTCTGGAGACAGTACCTTTGAGTAACTTCTGTAACTGCAGATATCTCCAGAGAGATCAAGCAGAATGTAGAACAGCAGCAGAGCAGCAATGGCAATCGTTTCTCTTCCTTCTGCTGACAGGATGCAAGAGCTCATTCACACTCCTGCAGAAAGTTCCAGAATCTGCAGGGAGCTGAACATAAAATAAGTCTTCTAATTCTCCTAGCAGAGCAGATAACAGTCTCCAAATTCTTGTAGTTGCAGTGCATTAGCCTCCCCCTGTTATTATTTCACTGTCCCAGCAGTGATAGACCATTGAAACAGGTAGGGACACACTTTCTTTAAGTAGACTCAGAAAATATGGCTTCTCCCCTGTCCTCTTCTTCCTGCCACCTTAGCCCTTCCTCCTCACATGACAGGGCAAAGGGCAAAGTTCAATATCTCAAAACTTAAGGCAAAACAGCAAAATATCGCAGTCTGTTACATCTAGATTGTTTGGTTTTTACTGTCTTGTTTCTCCTGTCCTTACTTTGCATTATACTTCCTTTTTTTTTCCCACTCTGAATGGGTATTTAAGATAAACAAAAAGTATGAAGATGCTCTGGTACGCTCTGGTACATCTGAACAGTTAAACTCATAGGTACCTGCAGGTAAATTATGTGCACAACGTTGGGGCCCTTAGGTGTAGGTAGCGCCAGGGCCGCCATCAGGGGGTGACAATGTGTGCAGCCGCTATCTATGTGTGCAGCCGCGGGCCCCCGGCTCCCTGTTACCGCAGAGGGGGCCCAGGTAGCACACAGCTTCTCCTCTTCTCTCTTCTAATAACTCTCGGGAGACCCGCGGAGCGTTGCCATGGTAACCGGGTCTCGCGAGAGTTATTAGAAGAGAGAAGAGAGGAGGAGAAGCTGTGTGCTGCCTGGGCCCCCTCTGCAGTAATCATGGAATCTCCCACCTCCCTGGACACAGGTAAGAATCAGGGAGGGGGAAGAAACATTTAATTAAATTAATATAAAATTAATGTGAAAATGCCCCTTCCTCCCCCCACCCCCAGAGTGCACATTTACACACACACACTGCATACACTAACACAACACACACACCGCATACACCAATACAACACACACACACACACCGCATACACCAATACAACACACACACACGCACACCGCATACACCAATACAACACGCACACCGCATACACCAATACAACACACACACACACCGCATACACCAATACAACACACACTGTACAACCAACACCAAACACACACACACCGCATACACTAACACAACACACACATCAGCTGCACACACCAACACAACACACACAGCACACCAACACAACACACACACACACACACCGAATACACCCAACACAACATACACCACACACACTGCATACACTAACACAACACACACTGCATACACTAACACAACACACACACTGCACACACTAACACAACACACACTGCATACACTAACACAACACACACACACTGCATACACTAACACAACACACACTGCATACACTAACACAACACACACAATACATACACTAACACAACACACACACTGCATACACTAACACAACACACATTGCATACACTAACACAACACACACACACACGCTGCATCCACTAACACAACACACACACTGCATTCGCTACACATTAACACACTCTGCATTCACTACACTAACACACACTCTGCATCCGCTACACACTAACACACTCTCTGCATTCACTACACATTAACACACTCTGCATTCACTACACTAACACACACACTCTGCATCCGCCACACACTAACACACTCGCTGCATTCACTACACATTAACACACACACTGCATTCACTACACATTTACACACACTCTGCATTCACTGCACTAACACACACTACATTCATTACACTGACACACTCTGCATTCACTACACACTAACACACACTCTGCATTCACTAAACTATGCACACACTCTGGATTCACTATACTGACACACACTCTGCATTCACTACACTAACATACACTCTGCATTAACTGTACACACAGCATCCACTACACAAACATCCTGTATTCACAGTACACACTACATCCACCACAAATTGAAACACTCTGCATTCACTATGCACAGACACTGCGTCTAATACACACACTACATCCACTACAGACACTGCATCCACTAAACACATTTCATCTAGTACATACAAACACTACATTCACTACACAAACACACACATCACTGTACACACACTACATCCACTACTCAAATACACTCTGCGTTCACTATACACACTGCATCCGCTACACAAACACACACTCTGCATTCACTGCACAAACAGTATCTAATACACACAAACACTACATCCATTACACATATTCTAATTCACTTCCACTATACACACCACATTCAGTCCTGCATCATAGTGAGCGGACTAGGTAGGGCGTGGGCGGGCCCGGGAGGGAGGGAGGGAGGGAGGGGGCAGACCTTGTGCTTTGTCATGGGCCCCAAAATTTCTGATGGCGGCCCTGGGTAGCGCTACCCAGATACAGTTATAAGGGAGAATCCTGAAGCAATCTCTGGAGACAGTACCTTTGAGTAACTTCTGTAACTGCAGATATCTCCAGAGAGATCAAGCAGAATGTAGAACAGCAGCAGAGCAGCAATGGCAATCGTTTCTCTTCCTTCTGCTGACAGGATGCAAGAGCTCATTCACACTCCTGCAGAAAGTTCCAGAATCTGCAGGGAGCTGAACATAAAATAAGTCTTCTAATTCTCCTAGCAGAGCAGATAACAGTCTCCAAATTCTTGTAGTTGCAGTGCATTAGCCTCCCCCTGTTATTATTTCACTGTCCCAGCAGTGATAGACCATTGAAACAGGTAGGGACACACTTTCTTTAAGTAGACTCAGAAAATATGGCTTCTCCCCTGTCCTCTTCTTCCTGCCACCTTAGCCCTTCCTCCTCACATGACAGGGCAAAGGGCAAAGTTCAATATCTCAAAACTTAAGGCAAAACAGCAAAATATCGCAGTCTGTTACATCTAGATTGTTTGGTTTTTACTGTCTTGTTTCTCCTGTCCTTACTTTGCATTATACTTCCTTTTTTTTTCCCACTCTGAATGGGTATTTAAGATAAACAAAAAGTATGAAGATGCTCTGGTACGCCCCTTCATCCTGGTGGGGTCATTGAATGGTATTCAACTAACTATAGTATCATTGTATGCGCCCAACATTGATCAAGCGCCTTTTTTGCCCAAGGCATTCAAGAAGATAAAATTGCTAAGTAGTGGCCATATAAGTGTGTGGTGATTTTAATTGCACACTTGATCCAATTTGGATATTTCTAAAAGAAAACAATGCACAGCCTGGCCCACAGACACAATTGTTGAGTCAGAGATTTGCTAATATGTTACACAGTCATGGGTTTTATGATACTTGGAGGTGTCTTTATCTTGTAAGGGGTAAGTGTGAACTAAATGAAGCGGCCTCAGACACTCCTGCCCATATCCTGCGATTAACAGCGGACATTGAGCACTTTTTTAAAGAAAACACCACTGACTTTACCTCGATCCCAACAAAATGGTTGGCCCATAAGGCTGTAATGTGTGGAGGTTTTCTAAAAATAGGTTCTCTGTGTTAGAAAAAGGTTTGGGGAACTGGCCACCCTAGAAACTACCAATGTCTCTATGTCATCCAAGAAACGCTCGAAACTCATAGCAAATGTAAAAAAAACTAGGTGAGCTAGACCTTCAAGACACTGAGAGGTCCTTGAGACAAACCCATTCCAGACACGGAAACAAAGCAGGGAAGCTGCTTGCGAGTAAACTGAAAGCTAACTTGTTACTGACCAAAATATCGTTTCCAAACAAAATAAGAGATTGTACAACACAAATGATATTGTAGACGAAATGCTAAATATTATGAGGGACTCTACAATCTGAAACATGTGGATGACCTCCATCAACCCACGCAGGACGACATTTAAAATTTTTAAGGAGAAATTCCTATCCCCAAACTGACACGCTCAGACCCAATCACTTCTGACTCCTTTTACGGAAGAAGAAGTAAGTACTGCGATCCTCACCCTACCTAAACATAGAGCACCGGGTCCAGACGACTTCTCTAACTACTATTACATCAAATTAAAGAACACTGACATCACATTTGACTGAATTATTCAATTACATTAAGACGTCGGGCTTAATCCCATCCAAAATGCTTGAAGCACACATAGTAACCTTGTCAAAACCAGGAAAACCTCCAACAGAATGTGCAAATCTAAGATCGATATCGCTTCTTAATATCGATATCAAACTTTATGCAAAAATCTTGGCCTCGAAACTAAAGCCCCTGATAACCTCTATAGTATCTCCAGAACAAGTCCAAGAGAGAAAGGAGACGCTTTATAAAACTCATTGACTGGGCTCACTCGAGCAGATAGCAAGGTCTACTAGTGGCACTAGACACAGAAAAAGCGTTTGACCTACACTGGGAATATATGGCATAGATGCACCGCGCATTTGGTTTCCCCACAGAGTTCCTCAATAGCATTGTTGCATTGTATTCGTCCCCTTCAGCCAGGGTGTTTAACACAGGCTTTCGATCAAAATCATTTACAATCTCCAATGGGACACGTCAAGGCTGTCCCTTGTCACCTTTAATCTTTAGTCTAAGCCTGGAACCTCTAACAAACTTCAATAATATCAGGACTCTCTGCCCCTCTAGTCAGGTACGGCCAACTATCATACTATAAAAATAACAAAAAACCCAAGTTTTGGCTTACGGCTACCGATAGTACAACTCCTACAAACCACATTTGCTTTTGACTGGTGCAAAACTGCCATAACCTATTTGGGTATCAAACTGACAAAGACATCTACTCTCTTGCTGCAAGAAAATCATTTAGCTTTAAAAACCAAATTAGAGAGACAGCTCAAGACATGGTGGAACCTGGAGGTATTGTGGCTGGGCCGCTTAAACTCTATAAAAATGATGATTATGCCTCATGTTCTATACCTATTCCACACTATCTCCGTTGAGGTACCTAACGCTATTGTTAACAGCCATATTTGGGGGAAAAACGTCCTTCGAGCATTTTATGTCATAGTAAGGAAACATTCCAAACAAGGTGGCTTAGCTATTCCTTGCATTAGAACTTTCTACACAGCTTCTGCTCTCACTCGGGGTCTAACAGTGCTTAGTAGATCTCAGGCCCCAGTGTGGCTTCCTCTTGAGAATGCATGCGCATCAGCAGACACAGTGTAGCAACTGCTCCGTTCCACTTCCTGGTCAGGAAAAGACAATATATCAACCTTACCATGTGCCAAACACACACTAGAAAGTTGGAAGCACTGGGCCCCAAAATTAATTGGATCTGCTAACATGTTGTCTCAAATAGCGTTACATGCAATTGTGACCTCTAAAATAACTTCTGATCTCTTACTTACACACTAGGCTAAGGGGGGCGCAATGTCATGGGTGTTTAAACTTTTACTGACTTACAGACAGAATTCTTCTTGCCACCAAGAGAAATCTTCACGTATCTAAGGTTGAAACATGCTCTCACTACCAGATGGGTGCAAGCATGACAATATTGTGACATCACTCCCTTTGGTCACAAATGCCTAGGACGCTTACCCAAATCTAAACCACTATAGTTATGCTATAATGCATTAACTGCCATGGGTGAGAATGCGAAACTACCTTATTGGTTAAAATGGGAAGAAGACCTGGGCAAAACGTTCTCTCTATCCCAATGGGCTACACCTTAAGGGCTACAAAACTGCCTAACACATTGGGAAGAATATTGCAAGGTCTTAATGATATAGCACTTTGTACCAAAGCTAATTGCACATATCAACGAGAATTCTTCCCCAAATTGTTGGAGATGTTTTAGTGCAATGGGATCCTTACAACATATTATCCGGGACTGTAAAGAGCTACAACACTTTTGAGCAGGATAAGTACACTCCTCCAATTAATAACTGGTACATATATATCCCCGCAACAATAACATTACTTGTTCCATCAGATACCCTTGTTAGATGAACTACCATACAGAGTAGTAATCATCCACCTTCTCCTGGCAGCAAAGATAAGCATAGTGACCTGCTGGAGGACAACCCAACCTCCTTCGACAATAGAAGTCCTTGATAGACTAGACAGCACCTATCATTACAAACAAATTGGTCACAGCATTCAGGGTTAAAAAGCCATACATACAAAGCTGTGGTGCATCCGGGCTCTACATAGGACACGATTATTTGGACTACAGGCTCAGCAAACCTGAGGTTGAGCAATGCTGTAATTGGTGCATTGTAGTATCCTGTTGCATTTTAAGATACCCTATAGCTGCTGGGGATTCTCATGTATAGACTGAATAACTCAATACCTTCACAAGGGCTTGTCCTGAGCTTTTCTCTCCCTCCCTACCAATTTCCTTGCTCTACCTCTGTAAGGAAATCAAGTATAGCTGAACCGCTTTGATAATTCCTCCTGCAATGCCAGCGTCTAAGGTAGTTCTAAGCAATGAAGTCCATAAGAAATATAACAGCTTCCCAAGATAATCCCCTTGGTAAAGCATACGAATTCCCAAATAACAGTCAGAGTCCAGAATCAGGATACAAGTAGATCTGAGGTCTGGAATCTCCAGCCTGCTTTTTATTAGGGTTACAGACAAGAAATACACACCCAGGGGGAGGCATTAAATCACCAATCAGGTAT